TCNCGGTTGTCAATAACATACAAATAAATGTTAGTGTTATATACTGAAAGCTTGGCTTTGCATGTTATTACACATATACCCTTTATGAATGAGAATCATGTTAGATTAAACAAGTTCTACGTTCTGTTGTTCTGCACTTAGATAGGGTGGGTCGTCATCGGGCGAACCGAAGATCACTCTATCAGTCACTTGCGAACAAGAATAGTTGTTCACAACCTAGATGGACATGAACACCCCATCCGAACGGTTGTAGTGTCAACTGTACAGTTTGTCTTGACTGATTAGTTGCACTAGTACATTTATGTATTGAACAGGATCCCAGAGAGGAGAAGTTCATTTTATACTGATCGTCGTAAATGAACTAGGCCTCGGTTAATTACTGCGTTCTCTTAACCCGTAAGATATTAAACAGGCAGATATATATAATATATATTACTTTGATTCACATGGGTGAGGTTCAGTTCGCTGGATTAATATTCCTACTGTTTTGGGTAATATTATTATATATAGGATGTGCTGTTAGGATATTTACGGTCACCATGTGCGTTAGTTTGATGATGTCCCCGGAGTGAGTTCATGAAGGATTGTTATGCTAAACCCTGCAGGTGGATTAAATTCCGGCATAATAAGAATGTGATGAACGAGCGCTAGCTTCGGTGAAATAATAATAAATTAATTAATTCTTGATTGTCAGTAATCGAATTAATTAATGGACATTATATCTTAAACGTGGGGAGGTAAATCGAGTAATTATTATTGGAGTCTCGAATGTAATTTGGGCTAGGGAAAGGGAGTGCAATAATATAATGTTGGTGGCCCATTAATATTATTTAATTAATTAGAGGAGTGGGTTTGGCCCACAGTTAGTCTAATTAATTAAGGAGCCATTTCCTAATCTCCTTAGGGTCCCTACTGTAGCTCTATATATACATCATTAAGCTCATGAGAAGAGAACAGAAGTCTCATTCTCACGTGAAACACGCCTCTCTCTCTAGATCTCATTCGAGCTTTATCTTCTTCTTGTTGCTCCACTGGTACAAGTTGAAGAAGGGTGTATTGAGTAATACAGTAGAAGATTTGTAGGTAAACCGAGACGAAATATATTTTGACCTACAGAACTAACCGGAAGTCCGATTGAGACGTACAGTATACCCAGACGACCGTCTCGACGAGAGCTTTCCATCGCCGCCGAGATCGCCGGAATCTGACGCCGGACGCGCCCTCACGCGCCGCCGGAAGCTCCCAGGCTGCAAATCTCGTTTTGATCTGTTTGCATCCGTTTGATCCAGTTTTGATCTGATCTTGTTCGTGCAACCCAAGACGCGTGTTGCGGTCAATCAATTGCGGCCAACCGTTCGTGGTCAACCAGATCTACATAAATTTTAAGTCGTAAGTTCTCTACGTCAAACCTTTAGATCCGCTGCGCATAGGTTTACGTTTGCTATTGAATTCGTGATTTGTACATAACGAGATCCTCACAGATCCCAACAAGTGGTATCATGTCGTTCAATCCGTTGTCTGTCATTCTAAAAGAAAATAAACTTACTGGTCCTAATTACATTGATTGGAAGAGGAACTTAGACATAGTGTTGACTGCTGAGGGTTATAAGTTTGCTATCACTGATGCTTGTCCGGCGGTGCCGGCGGCTGATGCTCCTGAGCAGGAGAAAGAGGAGTATGCTCGGTGAAAGAAGGCTGATGAGATGGCGAAGTGTTACATTCTGGCTTCTATGTCAAATGTTCTTCAACATCAGCATCAACCTAAGGACACTGCAGCAGATATACTTCTCAATCTCAGGGATCTGTTCGGACATCAGTCTAGGGCTGCTAGGCAAGAGGCTTTGAGTGCTCTGATGAGTACGCGCATGGCCGAGGGCACACCCGTAAGGGAGCACGCTCTCAGGGTTATGGCGCAGCTCAATGAGCTTGAGGTTATGGGAGGTTATATTGACGGGGAAACCCAGGTTGATATTATGCTCCAATCTCTGCCGAAGAGCTTTGATCAGTTCCGGTTGAACTACAACATGCACAAGATGCATATGGCTCTTCCAGAACTGCTTGCAGAGCTTCAGTCGGCGGAGGCCTTATTCACTCAAGCACCTCAGGTGCTAGTCGCCGAGCAGGCTGGACCTTCCAGGCCTCACAAGGGCAGGAAGAGAAAGAAGTCTGCAGGAAAGGCGAAGGCACAGGATGCTCCGGTTTACCCACGACCGACCCCTCAGGCTGTGGCAAAGAAACCGAAAGGAAGATGCCACAAGTGCAATAAGTCAGGACACTGGAAGGTCGATTGCCCTCTCCTCAAGAAAGGTAACTCTCTCGTTAATGTCGTAGAAACATGTTTAGCGGTTGTATCTACCAGAACCTGGTGTGTAGATACTGGAGCCACTGATCATGTCTGCAATTCTTTGCAGGGGTTCCAGGAAACCAAGCGACTTAGGGAGGGAGAGATCACCGTCTACATGGGCAATGCTACGAAAGTGGCGGCTGTTGCAGTGGGAGACGTTACTTTATCGTTTGATAGTAGTAGTTTGGTTTTGAGAAATTGCCTTTATGTTCCTAGCTTTAGAAAGAACCTTGTTTCAGTTTCTAAACTCGTTATGGATGGTTTTTCAGTTTCGTTTGATGACATGGTTATTATTCGTTTTGAAAATTGTTTCATATGTTATGGTTCATTAGTTGGCAATTTATATGTTCTCAAACCGAACTCTCCCACAGTGCAACATAATGAATTGAATAATGTCATAACTACATCTAATAAGAGGAAGGAGTCTTCGCAGATGAATCAAGCATATCTGTGGCACCTTAGACTTGGACACATCAACCTTAGGAGGATTCAAAAGTTAGTGGCCAGTGGACATTTCGGTCCATTGGAAGAGCACTATCCAACTTGCGAATCATGCCTGGAAGGTAAGATGGTCAAGAGGCCGTTTACGGCAAAGGGGTATAGGAGCCAAGAAGTGCTAGGATTGATTCATTCTGATTTGTGTGGTCCTATGTCGATCCAGGCTAGAGGAGGTTTCGAGTACTATGTGTCTTTCATAGATGATTACTCGAGATATGGGTACGTTTATCTGTTGCACCGCAAGTCCGAATGCTTTGAGAAATTCAAGGAGTATCGGGCAGTTGTGGAGAAGCTTCATGGTAAATGTATCAAGTCACTTCGTTCTGATCGAGGTGGCGAATACCTTTTTGGAGAGTTCAGGACATACTTATCGGAAGCTGGGATTGAATCCCAACTGACTGCACCCTGCACGCCCCAGCAGAATGGGGTTGCAGACGAAGAAATATGACTCTTATGGAGATGGTTAGGTCTATGATGAGTTATTCGAGGTTACCAGATTCGTGCTGGGGTTTTGCATTGGAAACGGCACCGTATATTCTGAACATGGTTCCATCGAAGTCAGTTGACACTACCCCTTATGAGATGTGGAAAGGGCGCAAGCCCAGTTTCTCACAGTTTCGAGTTTGGGGTAGTCCTGCACACGTGTTAGTGCAGGAACCTGGCAAGTTGGAGAATCGTTCGGAAGCACGAGTTTTCGTAGGCTATTCCAAGGGAATGAAAGGTGGATTATTTTATAGTCCCGAGGATCAGAAGGTGATCGTTTCGACGAACGCTAGATTCTTGGAAGAAGACTATATTATGAATCATAAGCCCGCGAGTAGACTAGTCTTAGAGGAGTTAAGGGGTGAAATCGATGGTTCCCCACCGAGTGCGCAAGTAGATACATCACATAATACTGCACCACGGCAAACTGAGAGTGTACCAGTGCAGACAGTGCCTCGTCGCAGTGGGAGGGTTTCTCATTTACCCGACCGATGGATAGGTCTTGGAGAGTCGTCAGACTCAGTTCCAGGAGGCCTAGAATCGGACCCAAGAACTTACGATGAGGCACTCCAAGATAAAGATGCAGATTCATGGAATGTTGCAATGAAAGCTGAAATGGGGTCAATGGACTCCAATCAGGTCTGGGATCTTGTAGAACTACCCGATGGGGTACGACCCATTGGATGTAAGTGGATCTATAAGAGAAAGAGAGGATTGGATGGGAAGGTGCAAACCTTTAAAGCTAGGCTTGTTGCGAAAGGTTATACCCAGATCGAGGGTATTGATTATGATGAGACCTTTTCGCCAGTAGCTATGCTTAAGTCCATTCGGATTCTCTTGGCTGTAGCCGCTCATATGGACTATGAGGTCTGGCAGATGGATGTCAAGACAGCTTTCCTTAATGGGAACCTGCAAGAAGACATCTATATGCAGCAACCAGAGGGAT